ACATATCCACACATTAACAAATGTAAACTCCATTTATATCTGTGAAATATCACCTGCAGAAATACAAAAAATCATAAATCAAATAAAATACAAATTCTGCAGGACTCAATAATATTCCTCACACCCTCATTAAGCATCCTGCAACACACATAATAAAACCGCTCACTCACGTTAATGACAAGTATCTTCCCAGAAATTCTCAAAAAAGCAAAAGTTAAACCACTATTCAAAACAGGCAACACTCCTAATCTCATGAATTACAGACCAATATCCTTACTATTTGGATTCTCAAAAATTCTAGAAAAGCGTTTTAATGATAGACGGAAAAAAATTCTCAATTCAAGAAACATATTGACAGAGACCCAACATGGATTCAGAAATGGTATCTCTGCAGACAGCTATCTTCACCTTTCTAAATGAAATACTTGTTGCTCTAGATCAGAAAGAAATCTCCATTGGTTTGTTTCTAGATTTATCAAAAGCATTTGACATTACTGACCATCACATACTGTTGTCCAAACTTGAATCTGTGGGAATTAGGGGCATTGCATATCAATGGGTTAAATCTTATCTTTCAAATCATTGTAAAGTAGTAACAATCAAGCATGTTAGAGATAAAATTATTTCTACCCAATTTTGCCAGCCTAGGATGATAAATTATGGAGTTTCACAAGAATCAATCCTAGGCCTATATTATTTCTATTATACATCAATGACATGCCCCTGACCCTAAAAAAGAGCAAAATGGTCCTATTTGCAGACGACACAAACATTATTATTATTAAAGCAAATACTCAACAAACTCTACAAAAAGAAGCACAAACAGTCCTAGAAACACTAGTAAAATGGTTCCAGGACAATAAACTAATCATAAACACCAGTAAAACTGCCTCCCTAAACTTTCGGAATTCACTCTCTAAAGAAAAGCCTCCAGCACAATTGATGGAAAAAAATATGCCTGTAAAAATAGCCCAAAAAACAACTTTCCTTGGATTGACTATTAAAGATGATCTGAAATGGAACTCCCAAATCCCAGATCTAAACAACAAGCTTACCAAGTCATGTTTTGCCATATATATCCTTAAGTAAAATTCTAACTTAGATACACTGCAAATAGTGCACATGTTCACATGCACCTAAAATACAAAATAATATTCTGGGGAAATTCCCCAGGAAATATTCACACCTTCATCATCCTAAAACCAATATTGAGAACAATGACAAACACTCACAAACATGAGTCCTGCAAACCACTGTTCAAAAAATTACAAATACTACCACTCCCATGCATGTATATATTTGAAATATTAATCTTCACAAAGAAGACACTTTTGGGAAACAAGAATTCTGTTACTCTAAACACAGAAGTTCATAACTATGATACTAGACAAAAAAGAAATCTGCATGTCCCTCACAGTGAAACTTCACTCTTTCAAAAAAAGTACCCTTATACAAGGCATTACACTATATAACAAACTCCTAGCGAATTTAAAAGCTTAGACTCAAAACACACATTCAAAAATAAACTGAAAGCTTTCATGTTAAACCATACATTCTACAGTACAAAAGAATATATACATCATAAACACATATCTACGTCAATATAAACTAGTACTAATATTTTTTGCATTTTCTGTTGCATGTTTTGAAACCCCCCTAAAACTGGTTGTTGGATATCAAGGATTAGCCCAGGCACAAATCTAATACTTTTCCTCTCCCTTTTTTCTTTTCTGTCTTTTATTTATCATTATATTTTTAATTGTTTCATTTTATTATTGTTTTTTTCAATCATCATCATCAATCATCATCATTATCTCATCATCATCTATTAGTATTATTATATTATTATTATTATTATTATTCTCTCATCATCATCATTATTATTAAGATTGATCTATCACTAAATCTAACAAGTATATTAAAAAGCTAACAAGAAATATAAGAAAAGAAAAAAATGCTTTAAAATTTGATAGAGAAGGAATTTTGTTACATACAAAAAAAGTAAGGCAATACATTTTCTAAATTTTATAAATTCACTGCTGTATACATAGTCATAAAACATAAGTCAGACATACGTTATTTGAGCTTTCAAAGTTAGCGCCTTCCTTTAATAGAATTGATGTTATTTCATAATAGCCTTGCTTTGCTGCTATATGAAGAGCAGAATTTCCACTGTAATCAATAGTATTCAAATCCACACCTCTCTCTAACATCATAACAATAATGTCTTTATGTCCACACTCAACTGCCTGCAACAAAATGAAAAAATTATACATAATTTTACTAAACATTAATCATAAAATTATTAACCTTCTTAACTTTAACTTCTTAACTTTAAATTATTAAAATCTTCTCCTTTTAAAAATTGAAGTTTTTTTAATAAAGGAAATCACAAAATAAATTACATTTTCATTATGAATATTACTCCCAATAAAAAATTATAAAGTTGTTCAAGATTCACAATATAAGTAACAACAAGTAGTTCTTTCCATGTCACTTTCCAAGTCAATATCTCACAAATTAAACCAGGACTGGTTTAAGAATTTTCAAAGTTCTTCCAAAATCCAATTATGAGATACCTACATTTATCCAAGAGAATAAGTTTTGTAACAATGTGCCCAAGTCAGTTTTCACACACACTTAACATCTTGAAAAACATATTGATGATAATTTTTCTTATTTGATTGCTGGTATAATTTAGTACATTGAACTTCACACACATAATTTTTAGGAAATGATTTCTGAAGTATGTAAATAAAATATGTAAGTAATTATAATACACAATGCACAAAAACTTTTTATCCAGTGACTGTATTTTCAGTGACTACGGTATCCAGTAAAATAATATTATAATTCCAATCATCTCTATTCTCCCCAAGTATTTCTTTTTTATAGTGGCACTGAAGAAAACTGCTTTTTTTTATTCTCTATTTTCACATCAATGCCTAATCAATTGGCTAATTAAATACTGTAATTCAGATGGTGCATTCTTCAAAAAAATTATGTAAATAAAACCTTTCATTGTAGAAATGACAACAGATTTAAGAAATCTTAAAATGTACTTTTTCGTTAATTTATTTCGGTTTCTTTTCTTTTCTCAAACTTCAGTGAAAATAGAAAACCATGAATGAAGTAAAAATGATGAAGCAAAGTGATTCAAGCATACAATGCAACTGTTAAAAAGCATTCTAAAAATGATTAAATAATTTAAAAGAATTATTGGCATTTTTTAAAATAAGTTATTCCCCATATTTTTATGAATGACAATATTCCATCTGTTCTTAGCAGAAAAAAAATTCAGAAAAGAAAAAAAAATCAGAATACAAAACTTGGTCCACAATGAAAACAAGAATAAAGTTGAAATGGATATGAATGTCATAATTTCTTTATTTTAATTGAATGCTTTAGAGTTGTCTAAATAAACCACAGATTTTGTCAAAATCCTTTAAGTAAAATAGGAAAAGATTATATTTAGTTATTCATGTTTTTATAATTTTATTTTAAATGCATTTAATGTATTCTCATGCAAAAAACTGGAAGTGTCTAGTACCAATATCACTAATGGGAGTTAAATTTCAGTAATTTAAACATTTTGGTGCCAAATCTTTCCCACAAAAAAATCTAAAATGTTTCCATATTAATTTAAAAAAACTTTTGGCAAGCTATGTCTTGGATTCATTAGTAGTCTTCAAGTTTAGGTACCCAAAAACGTTACCCTAAAAAAACTTGTTAAATGCACTGTTTTTCTAATACAATTTATTATATTTAGATTTTAGTACTTAGTTAAGGTCTGAAATTAAATAGTAATGTAATTTTCCCCCCTTTGTTTTCTCATGATCATTTTTGGAGAGTATTCAGCAGATTATTAAAAACAGCTACTCATGAGAAAATAAAATAATTCATATCAAAAAATTTGCTAGAACCACATATTTGAACCATTCTAATAAATCAGATGAATCACAAGTCACACAACTATGAACCAGTGGAAAAGGTTCATTTTAATGAAATAGCTCAATATATCATATTTTGCTTCAGGGTGCTTTGACAGATAATTCATTTCAAATGTTCATTCATTAATTGTATCAATAAACATGGTATTCTCTTATTAATCACTTGTAATTTTTGAGTGAATATATAATGCATAAGGAAAATCTATAATTCTTTTTGCCTCTGCACGGTATGGCAGTACAATACCATTTTCTCATGTTTTTAATGAATGTAAAATTTCGTTATTTTCAATCAATTTATATCAACAGATCTGTGTACTTTCCCTTCATCCATTTAAGACCAGACATTTTTACTGACACAATTAAAAGTAATAAAAACTTTTTCAAATGCAGTCAAGAGTTTTATCAAGGGATTTGCATGACATCAAATTTATTTTCCTAAATTAAAAACAAATAACGCAAATGAGAATGGCATGGAAAGAAATTTAGTATTTTACCTTTAAAAATGGAGTTCTCCCTTCAGTGTCACAAATATTCAACTTCGCTTTAGTATTTAAAAGATACCAAACAATATTAGCATTTCCTCTGGCTACTGCCAAATGAAGAGGAGTTCTATTAAACCTGTCAGCTGCATCAATGTCACCTTTTTTTATGTTCACTTTCAATTTTTCCAAATTTCCTTGCCAAGCTGCTTTATGCAGTTTTGTAACACTTTTATCCTTCCCTGAGAAGTCAATATTATATCCCCATCCCTGCTCAATGTTGGAGGATGAATCTTCATTAACCCATGTTCTCTCCTGCCTTTCTGGCTGACTAGTGACCTGAAACTCTTCCAGGAATGGACTTGCCAAAGGATGTCCAGCATCTCTTCTCTCTTCTTTCTTTCCTTTCACAAAATTGAGCACTTTTCTCATAATTTGGGCGTCGCTGTGTGACTACGGAAGAGATCGTACTAAGGGCCACGCTAACCATATACTGCCGGCAGAAAATCAATACACAGGACGCGAAGGGGCAAGTGTTTCCGTATACGGTACACTCATTGTTTTGATCTTCAGGTGAAAGCGATAAAGCCCGCATTTTATTTGTTAATGAATGCGTATTTTCTTCAGGAAAATACAACATAAAGAATATGCATTGTTGTTTTATGTTGGGGCTCTTGCGGGACATGAGTACCCATCGAAAAATGATTTCAGAGGAATAGGGCGTGAACGATGAATTGACCCACGCTGACATTGTCGTTTTGGTGGAACCGTGGGGAATGACGTTTATTACAAGCATCTGGAGAGTTAATAGACAATGGCATCGCCATTGCGCCAACTCTTCAGTGCCCTTGAACATAATGATAAGGATCTAAGTTCGCCGTGACAGTGCAAACAATTTAACCCGTGAAGTCTGCTTATCATCCCCTTTTCCGCTGCAGCGCGCATGCTTCGCGGCTTGCTTTTCAATTGTTTCAATCTTGTGACAACTGACAAGTAGACTGCGACATGAGAAGACTTGTCAAGCTAAATGGGGTAGTTCATTCCAATTTATTCAAAGGACTCAGTGCTAACTATAGCAAAGGGTACCTCGCGCATTCCCGGTTTTCGCGAATGGCAAGTGGTGATAACAATGACAACCATAAATTGTTCGTACCACAAAACCGGCGCGAAAGGCGCATATCTGGTAGCGAACAATATGAAGACAGTGAAGAGCTTGACGAATTATTTTCTTCCCAAGATGTTGCCAGGAAACCTAGTACTTTCGATGATGAACAGAAATTAGAAGTACTTCTGAAAGAAGTTCTTGCATATCGAGACTCCAATGTTAGCAGTTGGATTGTTGAGGTAATAACGACCCATTGTTGCGAAACCCAACCGCAGCGGTGATGATGAATTTTACAAATTATTCTTTAGAGGAAAAGAAGGGAATGGTAACGTAGTCTTGTTTTAAAAATAAACTTTCATTAATTTTATTTTTTCAGAATAAAGTCAAGAACCTATGTGCTGTTTATAGGTATTTATTAAAACCTCACAGAGAGGGATTTTTGAAAGTTCTAGCATGTGAACATTCTGTAGACCATAAGTTGATATGCAATGCAGCAAAATCACTGGTAAGTTTCAATTTTCCGTTACTTTTTTGTAATAATATTGAATTAATGCTCCATCTTGAATATGTATAAATATTATTAGCAGGAAGAATGTGACAAAAATTTGATTATTAAAGGAGAAGAACGTTTGAAGAATTTGCTGACTCCTCAGTATGCTTGGTTATTTCTTCACATAGGTCGTTTAGAGAAAGGAGTCAAATTTCTTGTGGATTTACGAACTGATTTATTGGTTAGTGTTCAATGACTTGTTATTTTTTCATTTGTCAATGTTTGAGTATTATTGAAGTAGGTATAATTAAACAAAAGGATTACTTTTATTTCAGAATGTGCTCTCAGACACTGATGTTAAAGATCCTGCGTCATTACCTCTTCAACAGCTGAACATTACATTGAAAGAAATGCTCTCTTTGTGGTTTTCTGTAGGTTTTTTAAATTTAGAGAGAATTACATGGAAGTCTCCTTGTGATATGCTTCAAAAAGTTAGTATGAAATTACTACTTTGTTAAAGTTCGTACAGTTTTAAGTTACATAATTAAGCTGTGCTAACAATTGCTGTGTAAAAAAAATATGGTATTGATATGTAAATTAGCCTTGGGTATTAGTAAATAAATATATTGTATTGATAAAGTATCATAAACTAGAATGACTCGGGTACAGATTATTAATATATTTTGTGTCATTTTGTGTAACATTTTTTACAAAAAATTGCACAACTTAAAAGAAGACTTTTTTGTGATAGTTTAAGCAAGAAAAATTGTTTTATTGCTTATTATAGTAGAGAGAAATGAATGCAAGATCATACCTGAGTCACTCCCCTCCCTTCTGTTAGGGTGAATTTGGTGTTATCCGCGAATATTTTTAGGAGCCCTCACTTCGCTAGATGCGAGAGGAGTGGGGGGCGTTGGTTATTTTAACAACAGGGCTATTATATTAAATCTAGAGTTTGTTTTTGATGCAAAATAGTTTCTATTACACCAGAGTAAAAATTTCTGGTCATCAGATTTCAAGAAAACATCTGTGTATAATACAATAGTCTTTTACTTTGACATTTGGCATTAGAAAGCATGTTTTTGCCTCACTGCACTGGCAGTAATAAGTAACAAGTAATGAACTATAAATAGTTTGCTATTATTATAACCATAAACACTAGGAATTATTAATTAACTTTTAGAACACAAATCTGCTTGATCCCTGTTTTGGCAAGATTAAGTCACAAATATCATATCTCATCTTTTGCCTCTGGTCACTTACAATATTTAACATATTTAGTTATAAATGTCCATTTTTTCCATTGCCTTAATATTCTCCATCAGAAATTTCAGTAACCTGACCTGCATATTTTTCCTTCATGTTTGATTAAAAAATATTCAGTTTTAAAGACAGATCTACTTTGCCCATCAAACTGTTCTGTAAGAGTAAAATAAAGTTAAGTAATGCTGCACAAAATAGATTTCAAGATTTCAAAGGTAATACAAGTTTTGATATTAAAATTAGTTGTTGCTTTTTCAAAATGTCTGTCCATTTGTGAACAACACTGGCAACTAAAGTATTCAGTAGGATTTTTTTCCAAAATGTATGTTTGCTATTCAATCTGGCCTGAATCAAAGCCCTTCGATTTTGAAAAGACTTCTCTAAATTTTGGAGGTACAATACTTGAAGCCCTTGGGATGTTTTTAAAAGTTTTTTAAAATGTCTTCAATTATTTTTTTTTAATTTCTTGTAAAAGTAGATTGATATCACTTAGAAAGATGGCATAGGCCCAATTTTCATTGTTAACTCTAAATTTCCAAAAATTACAAAAGTTTGGAGTTTTTTCTGCCTTTCAAAAGCTTTAGAAACAAATTTTGTAGAGTGATGAATTTCTTTGAATATATTATAAATAACTATACATCAACAAAAACAAATAAATTTTAAATTTTTCATAAAAGAAATGTTCTATAAGAAAACATCAAGTTTGAAAATTTAATAATCCTTATCAGATTTCAGAATATGAAGCAGTGCATCCAGTTCGAAATTGGACAGATCTGAAGAGAAGAGTTGGCCCTTATCGGCGATGCTTTGTTTACACTCACAGCAGCATGCCTGATGAGCCATTGGTAGTACTGCATACAGCGTTAAGTGATGAAATATCAAGTAGTGTGAGAGGAATAGTTTCAGCAGCATCTAGAATGTCTAGTGAGTAACGGAATTATTTAACAATTATTGCAGAAATGTTAATTAGTAATGTGGTGTTGCAAATCAATCAGTGTTACAGTGATAGGATGATAAAAGACAATGGCAACAATAATTATTATTTATTTATTAATGGTGGCAACAACAATCTGTTGTACTCCTATCTTACAAATGGTGTAATAAAATTAAATAATAAAATAGTGAATGAAGAAAATTGAGATGCCTCCAGTTACAATGTTTATGATGCACAATAACAGTCGTTCACATTTGAATTAGCAGTCATTTTAAGAAACAATGGCATGTAAGTTATCAGCTCAAGTGCTCTTTGAGTATTAGTTTTGCTTTTAATTTGGAGAATACAGTGCTGTATTTACCAAAACATTAAAAGGCAAGTTGTTGGAACATACATTTCAAGTGCATCACGAAATTTTGTTTTGTTTTTCTTGAGTTTCTAGGAGGAAATTATTGATAAAAAAGAAAGACAATGAAACAATTATGTTGTATAGTAATAATGATAATAATGAATGAAGTTTCTTCACTTATACAGGAATATTCTACCCAGTGGTATAATGTTTGGGCCTGCAAGGCATGCAATGCAAGTAGGCCCAGGTAAAAGAGAGGGCCTATTTTTTCTTTCTTATGCTTAAGAAGGAAAGTTCTTCTTAAGAAGAGAAAGTTGTGTAATGCTGTGTGAAAAAACTGTGAATTTGCGACAGAGAAACTCTTATTACAGGGTCCTGGTCACAAAAAAGTGGATAAATCCAGTTGTTAAAAAAAAAAATCCCTCTTAACATGTTGTGTAGCCAGAACCTCTGTTTTGTGGGTCCTTGATACCGAAAAATCGATTGAGGGCAAAACATCTATCTGTGAACAGCATTAACAGCTGAACCGTTCACCTGAAATTCGTCCAAAATTGATATTCTCCAACCGATCTGGCTGATGTCGCACTCCTTGAATTTGACACCGATATTTTAATGTTGGGGGTTCTTTACCCTGGGACAGTTTCAAGAAAAGAAAAGAAAGAAAAAAAAGCCATCGATTTTTAATAAATTTTGTTGTTGGATAATCTGAACGATATTTAAGAATATGGCGAAGGTCTGGTATTCGTTGAAAATTCTGATTTTTTGAAAATTGAAGAAATTAAAAGTTTTTTGGCATCTTCCTACAACTACAGTTATGAAGATACAATTATTTTAAAAAAAGTTAAATATGTTCATCAAAAACAGATTTTTAAATAAGGTTATTTTGAAGTTCTAGAAATATGGGTAGTTTTGGGGTAATTAGGCATTAGTTGCTATGTATGTTATATTATTATTATTTAATATATATTTCTTTGTTTCTTACATTGAAGCTTTGTAATATATTAACAAATTAATCTTTTAGAAATTATTTTAACCTATTTGAAATAAATATAAAATAAATATTGCTAGCCTTCAGTCGCCCGCTCCCAATTGACACAGTGGAATGCTAGTAGTTAGAATTTGTATATTATATCATTTTATTATTTATATTATATTTATGTTATTTCATTTTAAATTGCATTCTTTAACTGTGTTAAATGTGGAAATTATTACTGAGCAGTCATTGTTAGTTGTTATTACCCAATATTTTAATGACCACAGATAACAAGGTGATTATGATGGCTGCTTTTTGTTTGTGGTAATAAAAACGAATACTTTTATATATTTGTAGGATATTACAATACCATAGTGTTTAATAATTACTATTATATATTTTTCGACCTATTTGTTTGCCAATGCTATCAATATCTTATTATTTATTAACTTTTAATTATTTTACTTTCTCACATTCTGTATATTTTTTGCACTAAATATTCTACAATTTCAAATGAGTTTTACAAAACATAATGTGGTATAAATAGTATCACATAACAGTTACTGTTGGTGAGAGCAGAACTATTAATTATTTAAGATACTAACATTACTTGTGTTTGCTATACACTTTTATTAGTGTGTGTGTGTGTGTGTGTGTGTGTGTGGAGGGGGGGGGGGATTTGTGGGTGGACCCACCTTCATTTTGTTACTCTACTGCTTCTACACAAGTGTAGAATGTGTGTACTGGAAACCCAAAAGGGTAAATGCAGCCCTGAGAGCATAATATTATTAAAATTTTGTAATAACATTATAATTTTTAGACATTGTGATGCTGACCTAAATTGAATGTGCACATTTGTAAAAATACTATGCATGTTTTATTTTCTTGTACATTGCTCTGTTAATGGTATTGGTATTCATTTTGGTGTTGTTAGTTGATGCAAATGCCTTCCCAGCTCTGACTGCTGATGCAGAAATTGAAGATCCTTCCAATGTCAAAGCAGCAATATTTTATTCAATATCTTCAACACAAAGAGGTCTTCAGGTAATTTATGTATTCATTACTTACCTACGTTTGATAATGTAAAGTACAGTTATCGAGCTTGTCACTTAATGTTTATCTTAAAATGCAATATACCGTATTCTACTTTATAAATGAAAAGATTATTTTAGTGTATTAAAGGCAAAGGCAATCTGTGATCAAAGATTCTACAATGCAATATTAGTTCTTGTATTTTCTAGTAGATCTGCAAGTTTCTTTTTCCATTGATTTTTGGTTATTCATGTAAATGATGTTAGGTTCACAGTGTCTTTGTGTTATCTGCACTTATTATTTTTAATGTTTAACTTGAGTGAAAATCCTATGATTTTAGGGAATTGAACTAGGAAATTATCTGATTAAGAGAGTTGTCCAAGAATTACAAGCAGAATTTCCATTAGTGACAAAATTTTCCAGTCTTTCCCCAATACCTACATTTAGACTGTGGTTGATGGAGAAACTGAAATTATCAGAGAGAGGTAGTATAAGCAGTTATATATTGTACTATTTGATACCAAGTACTACAAAAAAAGTTAATTTTTTTTTCTCTTGTGACAGGTTCTAGTGATATTTTTTCTGAGAAGGAAATTCAAGATTTTCAGACATACCTGGAGACTGATAATATATGGTCAGAATTAAGAAACTTATTTAAAACTAATGGTTGGATTACCGAGACCAATCTGATACCACTCCTAGAAGGACCACTTATGCGATTATGTGCAAGGTATTTGTATTTGGAGAAGAGACGTGGTTATGCTTTGGATAGTGTTGGTAAGTAAAAATCACAGCTGCAGTTATTAACTAGTTAATATAGTATTAATTGCCGTTAATACATTTTACATTTTGTTTGTGTATATTGGAAGTTGTGCAGTCTCCAATGTTGTTCTTGGTGTACATTATTGCATTACTGATTCAAGATTGTTTATTTCAATGACTTACATTCTTAGGAAGTAATAATTGTAATGAAAGATTATGTATAGGATGCAAGATACCCAAAGTTTATTAATGTTCTACATTTTACAGCAAACTTTCATTTGAAGAATGGTGCTGTAATGTGGAGATTAAATTGGCAAGCCAATCTCACACCTCGTGGATTAGATAATTCATGTGGCATCATGGTTAATTACAGGTACGATTCACTTTCAAGTCATTTTCAGAATGTGTATTTTCATAGAACAAAATAATCATTATCTTTCGTTTAAAGGTACTTCCTTGACAAAACTGAACACAACAGTCATAACTACTTGGAGAAACAACAGATTTCAGCATCAGAGCAAGTGCTAGCATTGGCTTCTGCCGCTAGTGATTTGATAAAGCATACGTCAAAAATATAAGATTTTTCAACTTTACACTCCCCATGTTGCCAGCAATATTGTTCATCTTCTTCCAATTGATTTTTTTAAATAGTTGAATTTTATGGATTTAGTGAAGTTTTTAAAGCAGCTAGACATTTGTTCGTTTAAAACATTTGTTAGATAATTAATTCGTAAATTAAAACATGTTTTTATTTATTATACCTACCTACCTTTGTGTGAATTATGTATATTTTTTCCTTTTCCAAATATTCATTCATTGTAAATTTCTGGGTTTCCTTATTGTAATCATAACTGAAGATTTCTACAATTGTTTTATCCTGACAATGTATGAAATGACACACTTCCATAAAACATCATCACTAAAAACTTAAGATTTCTTGTAGCTATCACCTCAATGTGTTCACTTTCTCGCTTCCACTTCCACAGTACAGAGAAAGTCTTGTAATACTGTGGGGAAAGACCGAATTTTCGAGTGTAGTCAGAATCCATGTTTTGTGGGTCCTTGATACTGAAAAACCAATTGACAGTAAAATGTCTGTCCGTGAACAAAACTAGTGGCAAAACCATAAGCCGAATTATCAAGACATTCCCCAATCAATTTGGCCAATGTCACAGCCTCTTGAATTTGAAACCAATATTTTTACTTATGAGGCTAACGATGTAAAGTATATGAAGCCCCTGAGACATTTGCAATATAAAATGGGTTCAAATTTTTTGATGAAATATTGTTTCTTGGTTGCATAAAAGATGCTTAAGATTAATGGTGCAGGTTCCGTTTTCGTTAAAATTCCCAATTTTTCGAAAATTGAAAAAGCTTACTTTTTTATATCTTCCTACGATACAATTCTGAGTTAACGTAGGTTCTTCAAAGCGGTCCTGGTCCCATTTTCGGCTCACTTTCTGTATTTTCGAAAATTGGTAATTGTAATTTCAAAAACCTTACTGTAAATTCAAATTTTCTGCGCTTTGTTTGATGTTCTGTCAGTTCACAAAAGGCAACCCAGCGGTCGGAAATTCTTAAGATTTTAGTCATTATTGCAGGTCATGTAGATAACATTCTGAAGAAAAGAAATAGATTTAAAGACGTTAACGTAGGACACAAATACATACAAGGACTAACATATGCATTTCTTTTACTTTAAGAAGTTTTGATTGCTGATTATGCAATTTAGAAATAGCTTCTTTGATGTAATCAAAGCAAGCTTGTGTGAAAAATTACTGTTTCTTTTCTGTACAATGTGCTGCAAATACTTTATAACAGTTAAATTTATTCATGTTTTTACTGTTCCTCGCTATCAAAGCAACCGAAGATACAGAACAGGCACTTCATTTGAATTGGACTTTTTCAAGTTATAACAGAGTTTTTAGTGTGGCAGAAATGATAACTTTTCAGTATTATGTAATTATTTCCAATGTACAAAAATACAGCAATTGTAGCATGTAGTTTTCATGCTTGACTTAGTCTTTGACATCATAGAGCTGGATAGATTTGTTTCATATGTGAATTTGTAAGAACGGCTTCCTAGCTATTTTCGTGTGAACTAATTCCCACACCTAAAATGAAAAAAAATGAAGTGATACGTATAGATAATATGACGTAACTATCTAAAGTAATTCAAATTGTCCATGGGAACTGAATATAGGTTCAATTGGATTGAATACAAAAGTAAATTTTACTGACAGTTTGAAGCTGTTTCACACAAAACAGCAATACTCCAAAAGTTGATATGAAGGATCGTGGAGGATTGGAGCCTTGGAATTTTAAGTTTGTCTTCATATTATAGAAGCATGAACAACCAACATCAGTAAAGACCATGCATCCGTACTTATTTAAGGTGATACTGTCCTGAAGGTTTGTCCTCAGTTTAAGCATTCTAAGTGGCGATACTAATGGGTCAACTGCACTCTTCGATGATTCTGGTACTTGCTAAACATTATTCAAAATGAATTTGGGTGCTGATTTAAATGAGAAAATTTTAACATTTAGACAGGACAATTCTCACAGTGCAGCCAATAACTTCTTGCTTTACCACAGTATTTTTACACGCACAAGTAACTGTAAAACTTATGATTTTAGTGGGTGATATGATGGATGACTGAAGTAAATTACCTCCAAGTTTTTTTTTTATTTCAACATTTTCTTTGGCCTTTTATATCAATCACTTAATTTGCCTAATGTTGCCATTAAGCACAAATGCTTGAAATGGGAATAAAATGGGGGAAAAGTAGGAACTTAATAGGAAGAGAGGCAAAATTCTGCTTTAAATAGGCATCCATTTTCTTTCCTTACTAGGTAATGGCATAATTAATTGGTTATATATAGGTACTGTCAGATACATTGTTTCACATTAATGGACATTTGTTGTATTAAATGAATGTACGTGTTCTAGGTCAACTATTATTTATTTTGAGAAAAAATTTTAAGCAACCACAATTATATGTGGATTCACTTATTCAGAGAATTTAACACGAATCCAATACCCTCTAAACCATATTAACTAAAATTTCATACTTGAAAATCTGGAAGCCTACTATCACTGACTTAAAAA